AACATGGGAGTCTTATGCCTCCTGCATTGGCTGGCGGGCATATTCTTTACCACTGAGCTACCAGAGAAGCCTGCTTCAGCCTAATGCATTTGAACCAAAGGGGAAATATAAGAAATGAAACATATTAGACAAGTAATACACTCAACAGCAGAAACTTCTAGCACCTTAAAAGAAAAATAAGCAAATCTGTTTCAGTATTTTAATAATTGTATTTATTATAATAAATATCAAAATTTATAGTTTAAAGTCATACTGTTTATTTAGAAGTTTATTTTGTGACATCAGTACCTCTTGGCATTAGCATTGCGGGGTGCTGAATCAGACATGAACTTCACATCCCCCAAAAAAAGATATACTAGGTGTGATGCTATTGAAACAGCAGCTGCATTATTTAAATTTCCTACAGACTAATGTTGCAAATATTTGAATCGAAATAAATGTCTTTACTGAACAAATTTGTACTATCTCAAGTAAGAACAAGTTGACTTGGGGATTCCCTTGCAGTTCAGTGGTTAAGACTTCACTCTTGCAATGCAGGAGGTGCAGGTTCAACCCGTGGTCAGGGAGCTAAGATCTGACATGCCTTGTGGCATGACAAAAAAATAAAATAGATAAGCAACAGGGATTAAAACAAACAAAAAATGAACAAGTTGAATAGGAAGGATGCAAAGGTTCTTCAGATAGTCTTGAAAAAGCTTGCATTTGGAGTGGGTAAAGAGAAATTCATCATGTCATTCCTTGGTTCCATGTGATTGGGATGCAAAAGTTCCATTCTGGAGATGACAGACAAGACGTACTTAAAAAACACATGTGCGGGATTTCTCTGGTCCAGTGGTTAAGAATCTGCCTTGCCATGCAGGGGACCCAGGTTCAGTTTCTGGTGGGCATCATAGGCCTTGGGCTAATAAGTCTGTGCACCACAGCCAGCGAGTCCGTGTCCTGCAATGAAAGATCCCGCATGACACAGTGAGGATACCCAGTGCTGCAACTAAGTTCCGACTCAGCCAAATAAATAAGTAAATATTACGCATACACACTTTAAGAAGTTTTTCTTTTGCCTCTTTTGGCACTCAAATGCTCAAGACTGATGCAAGTGATAATTATGGGGGCTCGCTGCACATCTGGAAAGCGATTTGGGAAATCAGAGAGGCAGTTGTGCCACCCTGTTCTAATTTATTATCTGCTGAGCAGCAAGTGAGGGGTGGACATCCCAGGGTGTGAAATGTTGCTGTGTTTGGCCTGAGTCGAGTTGAACAGCTGCTTTCTTCCTCATAAGCAACAGATATTTCCCAGGCCCCCAAAGTTTGGGGGAGTTCCGAGTGATTGGAAATGAGGGAGAGGGAAGAAAACTGTTTTGACTAATAGGAAGGAAAGTTTGACTAGCAGCTTGGAAACTTTTGAAGTGAACAGCTGGCTTTGAAGATGTTCTAGGATATATGAGAGAGGAGAGAGAAAGGAAAGAAAGCAGTTTGAACAAAGTTCTATAAATAAGTGTTTTTACAGTTATTTTTTTCCTTCAGGTGACCTTGATGAGTCCAAAAAAACGTGGTTGATTGGGATAAGTCATACAGTTTATAAACTTGAGAGCTGCTTACTTTTGAGAAGCCAGCAATCGAGATAGGAGTACAACTCTCACTGCCCCTGGATGAGAAGGGGAGAGAGGGAGAGAGGGAGAGAGAGAGAGAGAGAGAGAGAGAGAGAGAGAGAGAGAGAGAGAGAGAGAGAGAGAGAGAGATGAATTTCCATTAAGAACAGCCAACCATCGGGCAAGTGTGTGGCTATAACCAACCCCTCACAAGTTCACTCAGGTATTAGAAGATGCAGACTTTGTATGTGGTCGAAGGTGGCAGGTATGTTTCATTTCCTTGGAGGGATGAAGGCAGAAGCTTCTCGATGAGGATGCCATCATACACTAGTGTGTGTGTGTGTGTTTGTGTGTGTGTGTGAAGTCACTTCAGTCTGACTCTTTGCGACCCTTTGGATTGCAGCCCACCAGGCTCCTCTGTCCATGGGATGTACCAGGCAATATTGGAGTGGATTGCCATTTCTTTCTCCAGGGGGTCTTCCCAACCCAGGGATCAAACCCACGTCTCTTATGTCTCCTGCATCGGCAAGCGGGTTCTTTACCACTAGCCCCACCTGGGAAGCCCCAGAAACTCACTAGAGACCAAGACAGTTCTAAAGAGCCCAGGGTTGGCCAGGAGTGCTGGTGGCTTTGGGGAGTGGCAGGATCAGGGCAGGAACTCAGAAGGATGGGTTCTCAGGTAACACAGTTGTAGGTCCAACACTCGCTTGGAAGGAGGCTGCTGGATCTTTCCCAGTATGTGCTGGGTGAGCGGCCTAAGAATGCTTGCGGCTCTTGGAGAGAACTGGGACGTGAGGGCTTTGTGTCTTTGAGGTGTAAGCAAACATCCTGGGTTGATAGAAGTCAGACACTCTGATGTTAGAGGCGGCCCAGAGGTTCCCTTCGTCCTTGGAACTGTCCAGATGCTTCTGTCTGGCCGAGGCAGCGGTGGGCTTGGGTGGACCGCTCCCTTACCTCACTGGGCACTTTGCAGTCATAGTCCTGGCTGTCTGGAGGAGATGCCCCCGTGGGAGCAGCTCTTCTGCCTGCACTCTTTCCTAAAAATGTCTTCCAGTACTTTCTCCTGGTGGTGGGAGAGGGGCAGCTGCTGCCAGAGGGGCTGCTGTGCTCTCTGGCTTCTCTGGCCCTGGGGTGGGCAGACCTCAGCCCCTTTCTCCTCCAGGCTGGGGTTGGGCAGCAGAGATACAGGGGCCTGAAAGCCAGGCCTGGTGAGGGTGCGGTTTGTTTGTAGAATGGGGGATGAGGGTGGCACGCATCATTGTCAGGGGAGAGTAACCCGCTCTGATCTGTTTTGCAAGGTCGCTTTGGTGACTGGATCAAAGCCAACGAGGCCAAGCGGGGAAGGAGACGAGAAAACCCAGTCAGGAGGCGGGAGGTTTTCATGTTGTGGCCCATGGGGCGTGTACTGTTGCGTTCAGACGAGTCAGGACGAACCTCAGGATCATAGTCTGATTTATGATGCCCTTTGTCAGGAACCTCACCTCTACTGAAGGCAGTAAAGCGAGGACTTCAAGGCTGGCCCCCTCTGTGCGTTTCCTCGTTGGCTGACTGTGGACTTCCATTTTGATCCCGTGTTATTTCCCTGTTGGAAATCTGATGACGAATGCTTTGAAGGGGGGCGGTAGACTCGGGCCGCCACCCTGTGTCCATCCAGCCTGTCGTCTCAAACGTGAGGGAATGACCTGTCCAGACACGTGCAAACATCTTAACTGTTTTTTGCAGAGAGCTTCCCACCCCTACGCTGTACCGCGGACTTCGAGGCCCTTACCTCAAATATAGAACATTTTATTGGTAAGAAAGAAAGCATCTTCTCTAAAAAAAAAAAAAAAAGAAAAAATCATTTCTTTCAATTTCTATTTCCCCACTCGGTCAGTTCTGTGACATTGGCAGAAGCAGAAGTGGAATAGATGCGGTTGCTTGCTGTGACCTGGGCATCCTGACTGGAGCCTTGCGGTCTTTACCAGAAAGGCTTTTGAAGAACTTTTAATTCCCAAACCCTGCCTGCGACTAAGTAAGTGACTCTGCAGTCTTAGACAGATGCTGCATGATAGCTGACGGAGCTGTGCAACGGGCTGGCCTGTGGTCTGTCCCAGGCAAAATGTGTGTGCGTCTTTTCTGTTGTCTAAGAGTTGTGTTTTCCCTGGTAGGGTCATTTATTCATTCCAAAGAAAGAACCCGCTGGGAGGTGAAAAGTGGCAGGGGAGCTACTTCTCTTAATGAATGAATGAATGAATAGAAGAAATGGCATAACCTACAAATGTACACAGCTTCACTCTGTGTGTGTCTATTTAGGAATCACTTCCTCTAAAGGAAGACTATAGTCTGAAGCGTTATCTTGTAGTGAATACTATTCGTGAAGTAAATCAAGCCCTTGACTTATGTGTCAGAGCTCTGAGGGGACCAGGCTCTCAGCATGTCAGGTTGCTTCGTTACTCCTCATGGGGAAATAGTCGGAGATTAGGAAACGTACCTGAGCTGATGAATTGGAAGTGGCAGCAGAGACGGGTGTGAACTTGAGGGTTCAGACCCCAGAATTCCGGGGCCTTTCCCTCAATGGAGATACAGACATATTTCCTTATATGTCTGTGAATTTATTTAGGTGAGTTTGTACATGTCCTCTTCCATCTGTGCTGGAGTGACGTAGCGAACAAGACTTCCCACGTTTCTGAGTATCTCATGGGATGTGTGGTTGAGGTGTGTCCCCAGATGTAGCATTCCTTATTGGCTCCTGAATTCTCAGTTTCCCGCCAGAATTCCTCCTGGGAGGGGTGTCCTGGCATCTGGATTCTTATAAGCTTCCCTGGAGGTTCTGATTCATGTGCTTGGTTGCTCGGTCATGTCCGACTCTCTGACCCCATGGACTGTAGCCCATGGGGCTCCTCTGTCTATGGGATTTCCCAGGGAATAATACTGGAGTGGGTTGCCATTTCCTTCTCCAGGGCATCTTCCCGACCCAGGGATCGAACCTGGGTCTGCTGCAGTGCAGGCAGACTCTTTACCATCTGAGCCACCAGGTAAGCCTGCCAATTGGGCATTAGGGAGCCTTTGCACTGACAGTGTTTATTTCTGGGGATCTCTTGGCCCTGTGAGGCAGGCAGGGGTGTGGGTTAAAACCATGGCCTTGGCATCGGACAGTCCTGAGTTGGGGACATGGCTTCTTTGCGTGGTAGCCCTTGAACCCTTGGGCTGTGGCTTAGCTTCTTTGAGCTACTGTTTGTTCATCTATACAGGGAGAAAAATGTCCGAGGGCTGTCCGGAGGATTAGGAGATGTTGCGTGTCAAACAGCGTGGCACATGTCCACCACTTAGAAACTCCCAGCGGTTACGGGTATAAAGGCTGCATAGAGGGAGACTGGAGGACTCAGGGCGTCTGCAGGTGGACTGATTGCCTCTGCTCTCTTCCTGGTTCCCTCAGGACGGCTCCCTGGGGAACATCGATGACCTGGCTCAGCAGTATGCAGATTACTACAACACCTGCTTCTCCGACGTGTGTGAGAGGATGGAGGAACTGCGGAAACGGCGCGTCTCCCAGGACCTGGACGTGGTGAGCGGGCTCCCGCGAACATGCACTTGCCCAGCCAGGCTGCTCCTGGCCCAGCGTCCCCTCCCTCCCGCTCTAACGCTTGCGCGTGGGTCATTTTGCTGCACTACTTTGAGATAAAAGAATTCCGATCCCCAAAGGATTAACCCAGTTCTGTGGATATCAGACAATAAGTATCAGTAGGGGCAACAGTGATCAAATTTTTGTGCTTATGAAAATATCGCATGGAAAGGACATTTTTACGATAGACTGATATACACTACATTTTTACTGACTCTTAAGCCAAAAGGAGGTCTAGGCTAGTTCTTTCCTTTCTTCCTTTGTTTTCTTCTTTTTGTTTTCAACATGATAAAGTTTAAAGAAGCAAGAAACCATCCTAATTTCTCACCTAGTAATAACCCACATGGGTGTTTCAGCAAGTCTCTCTTGGGGGCATTTTTACATCAGCTATGTAATTCTTGCTTTTATACTTAATATTTTATTATAGTTCTGTGTTATTAAGACTTCTTTGCATCACCATTTTTCATGGCTATATTTCTTCTCTCAGGTGCATTGAAATTCATTTGTCTGTTTTGTGAAGACCTTTATGTGTATGGTTAGTGGAGAATTTGAAGTTGCATGTGATACATAGTAAATAAATAGCTTGCTGCTGCTGCTGCTGCTAAGTCGCTTCAGTCGTGTCCCACTCTGCACGACCCCATAGATGGCAACCCACCAGACTCCCCCATCTCTGGGATTCTCCAGGCAAGAACACTGGAGTGGGTTGCCATTTCCTTCTCCAGAGGATCTTCCTGACCCAGAGATCAAACCCATGGATTCTTTACCACTGAGCCGCCTGGGAAGCTCTTTGAGTAACAATACCTCTTGCCTTTGAAAAAAAAAAAAGCACACTGATTCTATTGAATCCTTATTTTGTGATTTTCTATAATTATTTTATTACTGATTCCTTTTATTAAAAAACTACTATAAAAACCTATTGGATGGAGAAGGAAATGGCAACCCACTCCAGTATTCTTGCCTGGGAAAGTCCATGGACAGAGGAGCCTGGCAGGCTGCAGTCCATGGGGTTACATGACTGAGCACATGTGCACGAGGGTGGAGGGAGATGGGTTGGTAGCAATAAACTGGTAGAACCAAAAAAAAAAAAAAAACCTATTGGATAAGGATGTTACAAAAGACCTATTGGAAAAGGGATCCAACAAGTAGTTTAGGCGCTGCAGCTGTTATATGCCATAAGCACATGATTCACTTCCTTTGTAGGTAAGGTGCTGGTGCTCTTACGCACTTTCATTTTTTTCCTTAGCTCAATCCACCTAAAGATTTCTTATAGCATAACTGTCACATAATTACTGATCCTTTTTCCTCTCTGCTTTAGTATTCCACATGGGTGGGAGTTGGTATAACAGAGTCAGCTGAGACTGAGAAGCATCAGTTGGGGCAGAAAGCCATCACCCTGGGAGCCTGACACTACGGCCCAAGCAAGCACCGGGTGTCATTGTTATTAAGGGCGTCTTTCTTAACAGCTTTGTCCCCTGATGTGTGTCAGTGGGAGAGAGGTGTTTCCTTTCTTCTAAGAAAGTATTCTTATGTGGGAGAAGACTTTTAAAGTGCATTAGGCTAACTTGCTGGGACAAGGTTGAGGCTTTTCCTTTTGGCAAGATTGCAGCCAAACAATAACTTAATTATCCCACTGAGTTCTTGAGTGTTGCAATTTTGACATTGAATAATAGTCTGGTAGGATACTCTGTGGCTTCCTAGGACACTTCACCAAGCAAGGAAATGATGGCTGTGAACTGGCAGATGATCCTTGATCCGACACTCAACTGCTCTCCCCCAAATTCTAGTCGGTTAAGAGTTGGGGTTCCCATAATTATCCCACAGTGTTTGGGAAGCTTGGAGAGCAGCTTCTTGGTAGGAAAGGAAGCCTTCCTGGAGGTGGGATAAATAACTTCTTCCCATTTAGACAGATGGGCCTCATTTGGTGTGCTCCGTTCCAGAGTTCAGAAGACAGCGTGGGAGAAAATACCACAGGAGCTAAATTAGTTCTCATCAGAGTTGCAGGAATGTGATGGTGGGTAACATTGATGAGAGCCAATTCCAGCCAGGCTGGAAACTCTTCATCCTTTCAACTGTAGTTAGTGAGAAAAGTAAGATCCAAGTCATCATATTCAGGTTCTCTTTCTATGAGATTCCAGACAAGTGCTGAAGACCAAGTTAGATGCCACATGGTTCTCATTATTCAGGAATCCATAAGCTGGAGACTTAAAAATCATTTTAAAAAAATTAAAAAAAAAAAATCTTTTGGCTTCTCTGCATGGCATGCCAAATATTAGTTCCTTGACCAGGAATCGAAACCAAACCCCTTGCATTGGCAGCGAGGAGTCTTAACCGCTGGACCACCAGGGAAATCCCTAGAGGTGTTTTAAGGTCATCATTGAGGCCATATTTGCAACTCTGTGACTTGGGGAAAGCTCCCTCTTGCAGTAATTAGCCGGAGAAGGCAATGGCACCCCACTCCAGTTCTCTTGCCTGGAAAATCCCATGGACAGAGGAGCCTGGTAGGCTGTGGTCCATGGGGTCGCTATGAGTCGGACATGACTTGAGGGACTTCCCTTTCACTTTTCACTTTCATGCATTGGAGAAGGAAATGGCAACCCACTCCAGTGTTCTTGCCTGGAGAATCCCAGGGATGGGGGAGCCTGGTGGGCTGCCATCTATGGGGTCGTACAGACTCGGACACGACTGAAGCGACTTATGAGCTGCAGCAGCAGTGATTAGCTCATTACAGATTGAGTCCTGATGGAGAGCGATTTTCTTGAAAAGCTGTAACTTTCAGTCCATAATGCTACTCTTTATTGCATCAGATTTTACCTGTACTTCTAGACTTTGAATTTTGCCTTCAGACAAGTAGGCCAACTTCTTTCCTGCTCTGCTGTTGGGGCAGCTTTGGGTCTGAGGACCTGCAGTGTAAATCCTTCTTTTCTGGGCTAGTAAGCAGCCCTGTCAAAAGCAGAAGTGAGATGACTTGGAGAAGAAATAATCCACCAACAGCACTAAGAGGAAATAGTAACACATTAGGATTCTAAAGCATTTTTTAGGGGAAAAAAGTAACATCAAGCTTGTGGTGTCCTCTGTAGAAAAAGTCCTCTTTAGAGACAGCCTTGAGGATGGAGAGTTTGGTGATGGTTTAAATAGGTCTTTCGGGTTTGTTTCATTTCAAATCCTCTGGGTGAATTTGGGGGATTGAGGAAATGGTCTATAGATGGAACATATTTAGATATTTCTTTGGCTTTAAAAAGTCCAAAAAATGCAGTGTCCTTAAGAGCTAATTACATACCAACTGCAGAACAAATGAGCCCAAAAGTCACCCTACTCATAGAGATGCTTGACTTAACCCTGAAAAATAAAAGGTTTTGATAATTATGTTAGTAATTAACTTTCTGGACTGGATATCAAACTACTTCTCCAGGACCTAATCACCTGGCCCCTGACTGGAATAAAGCACTTACTTGATAAAGTGTTTTGGGGGGCCAGTTAGTTTAGATGGAGGTAACAGAGAGAGGACAGATGGGTGAAAATTCAACAGCATAAGCAGGGATTGTGATTCAAATGTATAACTATCGTGAGAGTTTTTATTTAGCACCAAATGGGCCCTAAAGGGACTGTGTATTTGGACCGCAGCCTTTGCCTCTGCTGGGGATCAGGACATTAGCGCTCTTGAACAGCAGGGAAGTTGCCCGTATTTCCATACATTTGGCACATCCCTGAGCACCATGTGTGTTTTTGGCTGCGAGAAGCTGCATTTGGAAACGACAGCAGCTTCCCAAGTCCATAATGGGCTCATCTCGAGTGATGCTAAGTCTGACATCTGTCAAAGTGACAGTGGCTAGGAGAGAGACACTCTCAAGGTAGCCTCTTATTACTGGCCACGTCAGCTTCCTTGGCATCTTTGAAGTTGAATCTGCTTGGATGTTGGCAGAAACAAGTTTGTGTGGTGGGTGGTGCAGCACAGACCTGATGGAAAAGTCACCACTAAAGTGGGACCCTGTTCATGATACTGGATCTCCATGCAGATTGTTAACACATCTGTGTGGGCACCAGGACCAGGGAGCCCAGGCAAGATGCACTCAGGTCTTTAAGGATCCGGAATATAAATACAAACATTGCACATTATCTCAGAGGATATCAGAATGGGCTATCAGAATCATTGCTGATGGTGTAGGGATAATTCTGGGGCATGATTATTGTTCCTTGCAATTTTCATAATTTAATCTTTCAAGGTATAATTCTGGACTAAGAGGCAGTAAAAGTGGTACCTGTCATGACTAGAGATGATTCTTGGGGCTTCTTCAGATTCTGTCATTTCCACTTCAAGCCGAAGTGGGAGTCTTAGCCTCTGTGGTTGTCACAGTGGCAAAGGAGGGTGAGAAACGATGGCAAGATGGGGGCCTCGGGGTTTAAGTTCTGGCCATTGTACTTAGCTGGCGAGCTGTGTAACCTATCTAAGTTTCAGTTTCCCCTTCTATAAAATGGGATAAAAATATCTCGTTAAAGTCGTTACCAGGATTAAATGGGGAAATTGCTATAAAATACCTGGTTCATCATCATAGTGAAAGTGAAGTCGCTCAGTCGTGTCCAACTCTTTGCGACCCCATGGACTGTAGCTCACCAGGCTCCTCCGTCCATGGGGTTTTCCAGGCAAGAGTACTGGAGTGGGTTGCCATTTCCTTCTGCAATGTTCTTGGGTTTCTCTTGTGGCTTAGCTGGTAAAGAATCTGCCTGCAATGCGGGAGTCCTGGGTTCAATCCCTGGGTTGGGAAGATCCCCTGGAGAAGGGAAAGACTACCCACTCCAGTATTCTAGCCTGGAGAATTCCACGGACAGTCCATGGGGTCACAAAGAGTTGGACACGACTAAGCGACTTTCACATGACCCCCAAATCATCATCTAAGAGACCTGTAACTGCCTATTTCTTTTCCTTCCCTTTTATTCCTGGTTCAAAA